CCAATCCCTGCAGGTTCCCATCAAAGCCTGGCTGAGCTCCTATGCCTCCATGCACACCTTTGAGTGGTTCAGTGCTCTGCCTGGGGGCTTCGTGGTGAGTGCCCCCGGGGGATTACAGAGCCCTTCCCAGGGTCCCCCCTTCCCTAATGGCTGCATTTTGCAGAACACAATCCCAACCCTTGCTTCCATAGGGTTGCATCCCATCCTGGCTTTGGGGACCCTACACCCCATGTCTCTCTGGTTGTCCCTGCAGCTGGAGTACACAGGGGCCAACGCAGTGCAGCTGCGCTTCCTGCGCCTGCACAGCCATAGGGCTGCCCAGAAGATCTCCTATTCCTGCCGCCCCGCTCCTCACCACCGTCAGCCCCAGAAGGAAATCCGCTTCCTGGCTGACACCCGGGAGCAGAGCTACGTGGCCACGCTGCAGGGCTGCCTGGTGAGTGGGGCTGGGACGTGGCAGCATCCTCAGCACTGCAAACCCAGGGCTCAGGATTGAGCTGGGTCAGAGCATCCCCATGGATCCGGGTGGGATGGAGCAGGGATAGGGGGTGAGCCCAGCCGGGCGTCTCAGCTCTGCTCATGGTCCTTTCAGCCTGACAACGACTCCTCCATCACTGACACCATCTTCCACTTCGTCACGGAGGAGCTGGCCCTGCTGCCCCTACGGGACCTGGCTGTGTTCCACAATGGTGATGCCTTGCACCAGTTTGGGTTCACCATTGGCCCTGTGTGCTTCAGCTGAGCGCTGGGAGTCAGGCAGGGTTGGCCCCAGGGTGGGATGCTGTGTTTGTAGCTGCGTTATGCCATGGACTACACTTCCTCCTGAAGTAGAAGAACATTGTTTACAAAGTCATTTCTCTATAAATTATATATATATATATATATGTAATATACATATGAGAAGGTGTTGATTTAATGAGTGGAGGGGAAGGGGGTCTTGTGATCGTAGGAGAGGAGAAACAAAGAGCAGAAACGCTGCTGGATGGGGAAAGGGGATTATCCACTGTTTGCTGTTTTCCTTACTTCGAGCAGCAAGGGGAGCCTTAATAACTGCAGAGCCACATCTGGCCACAGGATAAACACCAAGAACTAAAAAAGCAATACTTCACACACACCCCTATTTCCTTCCCCAGCACTGGGAGGTGTGCTCACAACTGGGGAAAACGAGGCAGGGGCAGCCCCAGCGCCTGCCTTTATGGGGGGTTCCTCCTTGAGGTCTGTCGGGCTTGGGTGCGAACGGGGACGTGTTCACGGCACAGCACGGCACGGCACGGCACGGCACGGCACGGCACGGCACGGCACGGCACGGCACGGGGCGGTCCCACAGCCGCACTACAACTCCCGACGTACCCCGCACCACGCGTCACTCGGCAGCGCCGTGCTGAGCCGAGCCGAGCCGAGCCGAGCCGGGACGGGACGGGACGAGACGGGCTGCGCTCCGCATCGGCGCCATGGAGGTGAGGCTGCTGCCGGGGCAATGCACCGTGCCGAGCTGTGCCGAGCTGTGCCGTGCCGTGCTATGCCGTGCTATGCCGTGCTATGCCGTGCTATGCCGTGCCATCCCACCCCTCGCAGCATCCGCACTCCCTCAGCTCTCCGCTCCCCCTCCTCCGTCCAGCTCTGTCCGCCCACCCCGTCGGGCGGTGCTGCGCATCCCTTCCTTTGGGGCCGGACCCCGCAGCACGGCTGCATCCCGCTCCTTCCCGACCTCCCCAAGCCCTTTCCACCCTCATCTCCTCCCGGACGTTTCTCCCTGCAGCGCTGCACGTCTTCCCGTACGGCTTTGCCCCGCTTCCCCTTTCAGCCCCGTGCTTTGTGTTTATGACTACAACGGGGTTGCCAAACCCGCTCGCCCCAAACTCGCCGTCCCCACCCCGTGCCCACGCAGCGCTCCCAGCAGAAACTCGCAGCCGGGGCTGCCATCGCTGCATGGGTGTGCCATCACCCTGTGCTCAGATGTGTTTGTGGCTGCCAGCCCGAGGAGCATCCTATCAGCTCCATAAACACACTTGGGTACTCAGCAGCACAGAGAAGCAGCTCGCAGGCAGCAGCATGGAGACCTTCTGCACATCGCTTCTGTTCCTGTGCCCTCAACGTAGCGTTGCCTCCTCTCTGCCCAGCCTGGCAGTTGAGGTGTGCAAAGGAGAAATAGTTTCATTTGATGGCTAATTATCATAAATCTGTTGCCAAAGGAAGCTTAAAAGCGTAAGGCAATTACGCGTCCTAATGTGCTTTGGTAATGAGCGGACGGAGCGTGTAATTAGAGCCTGGCTGCAGCACAGGTGCCTCTGCTTATGGGATGGGATTCCTGGCCAAAGCTGGTCCCAAAATGTGACCGTGGATGGGCCAGGTTGTGGCTGAGCAGAGAGAGACATCTGGGAATGGTTGGGGACAGCTGGGTGCTGTGAGCTCCTGCATGGAGGAGGAAAACCTGGAGCGTGTGGCTGTGGCGAAGAAAGAAGAATCAGCAGCGGTGACCTCAGCTTGGAGGTGGTTTCATTGGGGAAGAGCCATGGGCTAGAAGCTCCTTCTCCTGTTTCAACATGATAAAGTTCTCTGGATCCTCTGCTCCACTGCGAAATGGCCCCAAATGGGATTTAGTCACAGGTTGAAAGCAAACCCTGCAGGGATGTTCTGAGCTGGAGGTGCTGACATTGGGTGGCTGTGCTACCCCCTTGCACCCATCTCCAGAACACAGACCCCACCACGGGGTGCAGAGGCTGCAGATTTGGGGCAGTGCTCGTAGAAAGGAGCAGCTGGTTTCCATCTGGACGGAGAACATCTGGCATCTGTGGGTGCATCTGGAGCAGCCTGCCAAGGCAAGGCAAGGCAAGAGAAGCCCGTGGGAGGTAGAAAAGCGCAGCGGGATCCCAGGTGCTGCTGTCACGCCACTTTTGCTGCAGGCTCCAGACAGCACCCAGCAGCTGGTGCCTGCCTGCCATCAACTCCCATCTCTGGAGTCCTGGCTGTGCATGCAGGGCGGTGGGACATGGCTGGGTGTCTGCGACAGGAATAGGTCAGGGCTTCCCCTAGCAGCACTGCATGCCAAGCCTGCATTGCATGCCTGTGATTTGCAGCTGCAGTTCCCCTTCCTGTTTTTGGAACTGAACTGAACTTGCAGCATTTGGCCAAACCCCAAGTGTGGGATTTCTCACTGGTGTCACCCAGCCACGTGGGGTGGCTGTCACAGTGCTCCCTGGGTGCTCTGCCAGCACGGCTTTGCCTTCAAATGCACAGGAGGGGATGGTCCTGAATGCTTTCTTGTCTCCTTTGCAGATGACCTTCTTCTTCTCAGATAGGCTGGTGCTGCTCTTTGACTTCTGGAGCGTGCACAGCCCCACAGGTAGGCTGTGCCCCCCAAATGAGCAAACACCTCCATCCCTGCAAATAGTTGGAGACCATTTCCATTCTCCCTGCTGAAAACAATTTGCTCAGCTGAGTGCAAGCTATTCTTTTTTGGGAAAAGAGCACTGCTGCTGGTGACGTTGTTGGGGTTATCTTTGTGCAGGTCTGGTGCTGTCCGTGCTGGTGATCCTGCTGCTCTCTGTGCTGTATGAAGTGGTGAAGATGGGCAAAGCCAGAGTGCTGCAGAGGGCACTGCTGGCTGTGCCCCCCAGCCTCAACCAGGACACACTGCTGGGCCCCAACGAGGGGGATGGTGGTGGTGGGGACAGTGAGGACAGCTGTGTCCAGGAGCATGAGGCCGCGCAGGGCAGGTATGGGGCTGGGGGTGCTGGAAGGGCAGGGAGATGGGAATGGAAAGAAGGACCACCTTCACCCTCTCTGTGATCCCTTCCCCATTCATTCAGGGCCAGGTTTGTGTTTGCCCCGCTATTGCAGCTGCAAAGCAGTGCCCAAATCCTGATCACCCACAGCAATGACACCTGTGCTGTTCCCATGCTGATGGCCTCTCTCTCTTCCCATAGGTGGTTCCGGTACCATGTGGGTCAGACATTGCTCCACGTGGTTCAGGTGGTGGTGGGCTACACGCTGATGCTGGCTGTCATGTCCTACAATGCATGGATCTTCCTTGGGGTGGTTGCAGGCTCTGCCATCGGCTACTTTGTGGTGTACCCACTGCTCTGGATGAGCAACGGGGCTGTCACCTCTCATCCCATCCAGTAGCACTGTCACTTCTGCTGGCTCTATCCTTGCCCCTGTGCCGTGCAGGACACAGAGCCCCATGGATGCAGTGCTGGGATGCGCAGTGCTGGCAGGACGGGGCTGGCTCTGGGACTGTCCCCTGCTCTGCCACTGCTGCGGCCATCCTTGTGCTCTCAGGGAGCTTTATAGCTGTGGGATGGGGGTGATGGCTGCTGGGGGGCACTGGGATGCTCCAGGTGTGTGCTGGGCAGGACTCAGCCCTGCTCATGCCCCCTCACTCTGTGCCTTGTGGGTGCCGGGCTCTGCCTCGTGCACCTCTTTTTTAGCACTTTAGGGTTAGAGTCAGGGCATGCTGCTGCTGGGATGCCCATGGCAGTGAAACCATCGCATCGCTCAGCTCTTGGCTGCTGTGTGCTGCAGAGCAACGGGAGCCCCGGCTCGCAGCAGGGTTTAGGAGTAAGGATGCTCTCCTCTGGTTTTAAATAAAGCTTTTTTTCTCTTTTATTAATTATTATAAGCATATATATATTTTAAAACATTTGTATAACATTCTTAATAAAATATCTTGGAAGAGACAGGTCTGAAGTTCCCAAAGCAAGGCACTTCGGGGGGGCCTCCCCCAGTGGTTCGGGCTGGGCACCCCCTGCAGCAGCAGAAACAGCGGCACCAAACCTACAGCGGGGTCGAGGTGAGCTGTGGAGGGGCTGCAGGTGTGCACACATACGTACGTGCAGACACCCCAGCCCCAACCATCTCTCCAGTGCTTTTAGTGCATCCCTACCCAGAGCCTGTGTCAGACCCTCAGACCTATGCTGAAGCCCCAGGGCTGTGCCCCATCACTGCTGGTGTGATGGCAGGGGGTGCTGCCAGCAAGGTGGGGTGCATTCCCCAGGACCAAACACCTGCTGCACACCCCCAACCCTCATCACAGACATGTTTTCCACCTCCTCTCAACGGTAGCAGAGGATGCCCAGGAGCACCCCAGGGCTGTGGGTATGGGGATGGCAATGGGAGCATTCTGCAGCCCCAGATGGGTAAAGCATCTCTCCAGTAGAAAAGAAGGAAATAAGGCAGAAGAAGGACAGAGCAGAGTGCAGTGGGTGCCCTGTGCCGAGCCAGGGCATCCCCAGCCTCACCTAGCAGGACCACGCGGGGCTCCTCCCAGTTAGGTGTTCCCCATCCCCTCCCTGGTCCCAGTCTCCATCTCTGGTGTTACCAGGGCCAGTCTGCAGCAGGAATGGGGCTAGAACTCAGTCTGCATCCCCTCAATGTTCTCCGTCGTGCCCGCAGACTCTGGGGGGCTGCATGCCACCGGGAGGGCCACCTCCTCACCCGTCTCCTTGTCACTGCGCTGGCAGGCGGTCCCAGCAGGCGACAGTGGGACCTCGGCTCTGGGTGCAGGGGATGCTGATGTGGCATGATGCACCTCATCTCCTGGTGGGGTTTCAGCTCTGGGTGCAGGTGATGCTGGCACACCATGGTGCACCTTATCGCTGGGTGGGACATCAGCTCCGGGTGCAGGCGATGCAGATGTGGCACGAGGCACCTTATCTCCAGATGGGATCTCAGCTCCAGATGTGACCTCAGCTCCAGACACAGCTGATGCAGGCGCATCATGGTGCAGCCCATCCTGTGACAGGACCTCAGCTCCAGTTGTGGGTGATGCAGGCATGGCATGCTGCACCTCATCCCTTGCCGTGCTCTCAGCTTCAGGTGCAGGTGGTGCTGCTGGAGTACGGGGCACCCCATCCTCTGATGAAACCTTGGCTCCAGATGTGGGTGCTGCCGGTGCGGCACGCCGCACTCCATCCCCATCACGGGCCGGACCCTTCGTGGGGACATCACCTGGTGCAGCCCCCTCTGCCACCACCACCTCCTTGGTGGCACCGCTGTCCTGCGTGCTGTGGGTACCGTTCGTCAGCCGCTCCTCTGTGAGCACCTCGGTGCTTTCCTTGGCCAGAGCCTCCCGGATCTCCGCCACCCCATCTGGGGACCCCGGTGGCACCCTGGGCTCTGGCGGCTCTGGCGAGCTGGGGGACATCAGCATCTCGGCACCCATCTCATAGGGCAGGGCCCCCTCGTCGTCCTGGATCACCGACACCACCTGCTTGGCCCTGCGGCGCTTGTCAGCAGCCGGCTCAGCCTCAGGCTGCCCGCCGTGCTCCTCGCCCCAGTCGATGGGGCTGCCCTCGCCCAGCAGGTGCAGGTTGGGATCGCTGTTGTGCATCACCATGCTGTCACGGTACAGGTTGTGCTTCCGCTGCACGGCTGCCTCCTTCACGGCTGGTGGCACAGAGAGAGATATCACATAGGGTGGCACCGGCACCCTGCGCCTGACGTGGGATCACCCTTCCTCATATAGCACCCTGCGCGGGGTCATCCATGGACCTCAGCTCCTTGCATGGGCTCACCCCTTCCTTCTACAAGCCCCAGCATTCTGTGGATCTTCCTACTGTGGATTCCAGCACCCAGTTGGATCCCCTAGATGCTTCCCATGCTGCTAAGCCCTTACATACATGAGGGGCCTCCCCACCCAGCTGGAAATCCCGGAGCCCCTTACCTTGCATGATGTCCTTCATCACAGACTGCAGCACGACCTCTTCATATGTGTTCTCCACCAGGATGAAGCTGGCAAAGTCCTCGAAGATGAGCTCCTGGAACTTGGCTAGCTCCTGCCAGAGGGGAGGGATCAGAGTGGGATGCAGGAGCTCCCCATCCCCAAGGATGCTGAACCTCCACAGAGAGACCCTCCCATGAGCTTACCCCCTTGCAGGTGGGTGCCAGCTTCTTCAGCAGGAAGGGGATGGTGATCTGCAGCAGGGCCTCCCTGAAGAACTTCTTCCGCACCGTGCTGCTGTCGTAATCATATTTCTGTGGGGCAGGTGAGAGTGGCCATGGGTTGGCGCCCACGAGGGCTGCATGGTGGCACAGGCACAGCCCGTACATATGGGTTCCCAATCCATTTGCATGGGGCTGAATGGGTTCCCTTGTCCCTCGCATCCTCAGTAACCACTTTCTGCAGAAAGATTTGGGCCATTCCAAACCCTGAGTGGCTTTCCCATGGACCCACGCATGCCTTCACATGGGGCTGGGTCCTCCACCTCCTCCCCCACTCACTTGCCCCAGATCTCAGCAAAAGGCATGAAAATCTCAATAGCAAGAAGCACTTGCCAAAAAACTTCTGGCATACACTATGAGGGTCCTTGCTGTCCTCCTCACCCCAGAAGCCCCATGGCGTAGGAACAGCCCCAGCCCTTACCTTAAGCACCCTCTCGAGGATGCGCTGGATGGACTTGCAGAGCTCATCCTTGCCCTGAAGCTTCCCCAGCTCCTGGTGGAGCAGCGTCTCAAAGGTGTACAAGGCATCATCCATTTGCTTTGACAAAAGCCAAGAGGTCAGTGGCAGTGGGGGATCAAAGGGGCTGGGCTGGACCTGTCCCCACACTCCAGCAACTCTGCCTTGGAGAGATAGGGGGATGAAGGTAGGGCATGCCTATCCTACCTGTCGCATGTGGATCTGGGCCCTCTGCTTGAAGACAGACGTGCTGGAGACGTCGAAGCGCTGCTGGAGGCCCTCCAGCTTCAGCTGCTCCATCTTCTCGTAGCACGACTGCATCTTCACCGGGTGGAAGGCCAGGTGGGACAGCTTCTCCATGTACTGGGGACAGAGCTGAGCTCAGCAGGGCTGGGACGTGCCGCCCCACAGCCCACACCTCTACAAGGGCTCCGTCTTCAGGTGTCTTCCCAGCTTGTGGTTCCCCAGTTCAGTCCCTACCAGGTATGGCAATGGGATTGGCCACATCACCTCCAGCCTCCACCCTGCCCGGCTCAGAGCTCACCTCCACCAGCTTCTCCAGGCCGCCCTCATTGACGATGTTCATGTTCATGTCTGTCACCTCCTTGAAGAAGACTTCCCGCACCTCGGCGAAGCCCTGGCTCGTCGGGGTCATCAGGGCCTCCAGGATGGAGGAGATGTAGGGCTGGACGTGGTTACGGACACAGATCTCCGCTTTGGGGAGGACGAAGGCTGGGCGGAGAGCAGCGTGGAGCATGGCAAGGCTGCTCTGCCCTTCCAGCTCCGCCTAACCCCAGCCTGGGAGAGAGGATGCTCTGTTCCTCAAATCCCTCCAGAAGTCTCTCAGACCCATGGGGCAACAGAAGGGGTTCTCGAAGGTGGCCCTCAGCCTGCATTAAACCCATTCCTGTCCCATTGCCTTGCTTTGGGCTCACTGCCCAACCTGTCCCCCATCTGTGCCCTCTCCCCACGGGGCTCTACCTCGGATCTTGCTGGCCAGGTGCTCCTTGGAGGTGATGATTTGGTCCATGTCAGTCCGGATGCTGCTCTCCATCTGGGGCCGCTCCAGCTCACACTTGGCCACCATGGCATCATATTGTGCCTTAGTCTGCTCGTAGACCATCCTATAGACAGCATCCGAGATCTGGGGAGGGAGAAGAGGGTGACAGGAGGTCCCTGATGGTCACAAGCCTGTAGGATGTCCACAAACTTAGGAAATGGGCAGAACCCATGAGCTCCATTAGACTGCTGGAGCCCACACTGCAGCCTGATGCTGTGATTTTGGGACCAGCAGGAGGCAGAGCAGTCTCTCCCCTCCCTCCCTCCTCCCAGTATTGCAGTATAACTCTGGGCTGTGCTGTGGAGACCGCAGCCACTGGAAAAAAAAAAAAAAAAGGAAAAAAAAAGCAAGATTTGAGCATTTTTAGGCTGCACATTATGAGCTTGGTGGCAACTATGAAGGCTGCAACAGGCGGTTCTGAAGAGTGCTCTGTCTTTCTGGCAAGGGCTGGGGCTGGATTTAGCCTGCGCTACCCTAAAAATGGCTCACTAAATATAGCTGGATGGGCTGTGCTCGTGGGCCGGGCTTCCTCCACTTGGCTTCCCCCATTCTTAGAAGCAGAGCACTGGGCAGGGCTGGCTGCAGCAGGGACAACAAAGTCCTGGACAGAGTGAAGCCACGGGGCAACACAGCCTATGAGATGGGACATGCCCCGAAATGGGAGCAGCCCAAGCAGGGGGGTCAGCACTGATGTCCCCACTTCCACCACCCTCACCTGGATCCAGGTCCGCTGGCGCTCCTGGGTTTTGCCCTTCAGCCGCGGGCCGATGGCGTTCCGCAGCTCCGGCAGCAGCTCCTCCATCACCAGGTTGCTCAGGATCTGCAAAAGGAGGAGGCGATGGGGGGCCGTGCCCGACCTTACCTCGGCCCCACACAGCCCCTGGGCCAGCCCTCACCTGGGTCTGGTTGCCGCACAGCATGTCCCAGGTGCCGTACTGCTCCTTGGACTGGCGGTACATGCGGACGGCGTCAGTGAAGGCTGGGGCCTCAACTTTGGAGTCCTCCGAGATCCCTGATGGGGAACGGATGAGAGAGCATTGGGATGGGAGGGTGGGTAGTGGTACAACCCCAGGCTGCATGTCACAGGGGCTCCCCGTGTCTGCAGGGCCACTGCACAGTGCCTGGGGGTAGGGGGGACTCTGTCCCTGATGCTGTCCCATACACAGGAAGGGTTGGGGAGCTCCCATAGCCAGACCCCCCTGAATGGGACACAGGGCAGGAGAGCGTCCAGGAGGAAAAGGGGAGTGCAGAAGAGCAATCAAGAGAAAACAGCCTGGCAGAACCCAGGGCCTCACTGAGCACTGAATGGTGAGCCCAGCAGTTTGGTGAGCCTCGGTGGCACAAGAGGACTGGGGGCTGAGTGTGCCCCAGTGCTGCATGGGAACCTGTGTGTGTTCAGCAAGCCCTGAAGCACAGCAGGAGCAGGGCACAGCAAGATAGGGGCTCAGTAAGCACCAGTGATGCATGGGGAACTGTTGACTCAGCAAACCCAGGTGCCACAGTCAGAGGAGTCACTGGTGTGCCCCAATAGTCTCTGAGGGCTCAGCAAGTCCCAGTGGGGCACAATGGCCCTGCACAGCCCCAGTGGCACAGCTGGAGCAGGGGCTGAGCAGGACTGGGCAAGCTCTGCAAGCCCCACTGGTGCATGGAATGAGTCCTAAGGACTCTGCAAGCCCCTACGGTGCAGGGGGGCTCTGGGCTGCCTGGGAGGGGCTGGAGGAAGAGGGGCCCTGAGGACACAGCACAGCTTGGGAGGAAGAGGAAAGTGGGGATGAGTCACGAGGAGGCACAGCGTGCTCCAGCCGGTTCTGCTACCCCCGGGATGTCAGCACTGTGATTCACCACAGCACGGGACCACGGCACAAGGGGGGTATGGATGTCACCCTCAGCCCCTCCCCTGGGGTCTGGCTGCTGCTGCACAGCTCTCTTGGCAATGTTCCCCTGGTGACGGTGCCATATATTGAGGTGTCAGGCACCAGGGAATGATGTTGTCCCCAATGCAGCATGGGCAGAGGTCCCACAGGTGCATAGGGCAGGGGGTGACCCAGCTGGACACGCTGTGTGAAGGGTCCCACAGCTCATCCCCAGTCCTTAGAGAACAGCTGGTGTTTCAAAACCAGGGACTTGTAAAAGGAGGTGAAAATTCCCACACTATTTACAGCTGGAGGCAGACAAGGGGCCTCCAATTTGGAAAGAAAAAAAAAAAGTTGCTCAACAGCAACAAAAGATCTTTCATTGGATTTGAAACACTATCTGAAACACAGCAAGAACAGCAGCGGGCAGAAATCTGGAGCTGGGAAGGGAAGGAACGTCTCATAAAGAAAAACAGCCTGCACAAATGGAGAAATCCACCCGAGCAGATCTGTTCCTGGGGCTGTGCCCATCTCTGCGCCACTGCAGAGGAGGAGAGGACCCAGCGCACAGCACAGATTATTGCCCAACTCCATTGCTCTGCCCCCTAAAAATGGGGCTGCGGGCAGCACCCAGGAGGGAAAGGCACAGAGCAGAGCAAGCAGCACTGCTCTTTGCTTTGCAGCAGGCTGCAGGGCCAGCACCTCCTCCCTGGGATGCTGTCTCGCCCCAGGAGTGCCTGGGTATGCTTAGCAGGAAAATCATGTTCTCCTGACACGGTATCGGGGCTGTGGGAGGCTGGTCCTGTCCACACACAGCCCAAGCCCCAAAGAGGGTGGGAGGAGGAGGGAGAGAGAGCAGGATGGCGGCTGCCTGCAGTTTGGATGACTTTAATTACTGAATATTTTCTGCCTTGGGGTGGTAAATAGTCATTAGGGCTCCCCACGCTGGCGTCCAGCTGGCTGCAGGCAGGCACTACCATCACGCTGCTCAGGGGCACGGGACGGAGACCCCCGTGCCCACCCTCACTGCTGGCCTATTCCCACCTCTTCGTCCCCATATCTTCCCCTGTAGGTCAACAGAGAGCTCTGTGGGGCTCCCAGAACTCCACAATGCTCTCCCCACCGAGGTGCCCCCCGCTCACCGTTGTTGCAGTGCCGCACGCAGTCCTGGAACACCGCTCCCCACTTCTCCTGCTCTTTGCCAGTCATCAGGCAGAAGTAATAATGCCGGGCGTAGGGGTGCCAGAGAATGAGGGGGAAATCCGTGGGGCACTTCAGGATGGGGGTGTTCCCCGATTTGGGGGTGATGCCTGCGGGAGGAAGGATGTGCTGAAGGGCAGAGGAACAGGGACAAGGGATGCAGGGGTGGGAGGGTCCGTGTGCTGGTCCCCATCTGCATCCCAGGGCCTACAAGGAGCAGAGCATCCCGATGGAGGCTCCACCTGGGGGAATATGGGGTTGTAACCCCACACCACAAAACCACCCCTTCCCATCGGCTTGGGATGCTGGGCAGCATGGGGATGAGGGGGGACCCCCAGAATCCCACCCCACTCCACTCACCAGGCAGGCTGGTGTTCACCAGCTCCAGGTACTGCTCCACTGAGGTGAGCACCTTGTAACCAGCACTGTTGATCAGCACACGGGGCGGCAGCTCTCTCTCATAAGCCTGAGCAGAAAGAGCTGGTCAGGGCAGGGTGGTGATGTGGGACATAGGTATGGCATGGGAAGAGTCCACAGCAGGTGGGTGAAAGGGTCTTTTCCTCCTCTAACAGGATGGATGGGAAAAGGAAGCTCAAAGGGCAGCCTGGAAATACCAAGGGCCACCAGGAAACATCATAGACGGTCACAGGGCGTCCATCCTCACAGGGAAGTCAGCCCCAAGGAGGATTGGGGGAAGAGGGAGGACATGGGCAGGATCATCCACAGGTGACAGCCCCATGCAAGGAGCCATCCTCACCAGTTTGTTCTCATACAGCACCAGCCCATAGTTGTGTGGGACCACGCAGAAGCGGTTCCTCCACTTCTTGTTCTCTTCGATGTACTGGAAGAGGTTGCCCGAGTAGATGACGTGGTCCTCCAGTGGGACCTGCAGGGAGGAGGTGTGCTGTGACATGGGAAGGGGCAACGGGGAGCACCCACCCACTGTCCCTCAAATGCAGGTGCCTAAATAGTGCCTCTGGGTGATGTTCTGCGGGGGTCCCACCTGCACAGCCCTAACAGAGCTCCAGGGGATGCTCACTCAGCAGTCACCATAGAGGTGGCCATCCTCTGTAGCCCAACTCCGGATGGTGCTGGAATGCCCCAGGCTGCCTGGATGGAGTAGGATGAGGCCATCCCACGTCTCTAGGCTGAGCAGCCTCTGCAGCCCCCACATGCTGTGCTGACACCAGCCAAGAATGCAACCCAGGAATTTTTATGACCCCAGGAATATAAACAAGAGCTGAGAGCACTCCTGACAGTGTGAGCAGCCGGCGACTGGCTCTCCATCCTCCGCCCACCATGGTGGCCACTGCAGGCACCGCACTGTGCACCCAGCACGACCCTGATGATGGACATTTCTCCCCTCGTTGCCTTCCCCAAACACTGAACTCCTTCACCAAGCAGCACCCGCTTTGGTTTTGAGGAGGACTGGGAGCATGCTGGCTCAGCAAGCAGACTGACAGCCCTGCAGCACAGCCCCACCATCCATCCAAAGCATTTCCCAAAGGAATAAAGGGACACCTAGACGGGGAGAAGCAGCAGGGTATTGAGCTGGGGGTGACAGCCCTAAGAGAGAGAGATGGGGACAGCAAAAGTCCAGCAAAGCCAAGGTGAGACCAGTTCCCATCAGCATCGCTCAGGGGCAGCCCAAACAACAGGGCTCAGCCCATTGCAAGGACCTGACTTGCACTCCAGAGCCCTGAGCCTGCCTCACCCAGCAAACATCTGGGACATGCAGGAATGTGGCAAATTGCAAGGAGGGGCAGGGAGGCGGCTGGCAAGCGTGGAGGAGGATGCTCAGGGATGGACTCCTGGGGTGGATGAGAGCTTTGCAGCAGCCCTGCTCTGCCCCAGGGGCTGTCCCTGCATTGCTCCCACGTGCAGGTGTGCCTGCACCAGGTGCTGTTCCCATAGCTTGTCACCAAACCAGATGCCAACATGCACGCCTCTCTGCAGAGGCAGAGGGGACTTGTTGCAGGAAGAACATCCTACCTGGTCCTGCTTGGTCCTATTTGGTTCTGTTTAGTTGTACTTTGGTCCTGTTTGGTCCTATTAGGTCCTTCTTGGTCCTACTTGGTCCTGTTCGGTCCTACTTGGTCAGACTTGGTCCTGTTTAGTCCTATTTGGTCCTGTTTGGTCCTATTTGGTCCTACTTTGTGGCCCAGTGCTGCACCGTGCCCCTGACCTCATACTGTTGCCACTTCTCAGACATTCCTGGGCTTGCTTCAGGAGGCACCACCCGGTGAAGGCATCAGCCAAGCAATGATGACCCGATTATTTCCTCCCTGCGGACACTGGGCTCCCTGTTCCTGCTCAGGAACTCGTCCCTCCACACCTTTATTTTGTTTGACACACCCGGGCAGGCAGGGACATTGCAACACAGGACACACCGGGAGAGTCACTGCTCCAGTCCTCATGTGAGCTGCCCCTCTGCCACTGAATTGAACCCAGTGATCCCTGTGAGTCCCTTCCTCCTGCTCGAGGTATTCTGCGGTTCTGTGACTTTGCAAACGCCCATGGCTGTGTGCCCATCCTGCACACCCTGCCCTCCTGCGCCCAGTGCTCCGTCCCAAGGCTGCAATGATGCCCAGCTTCCTAAGAGGGGCTTTGGGAATGTTTTCTGGCTACTTCATGTCACTTAAAGTAGGGTGATGGAAGCATTTCAGGCTGAGAGCTGCTCAGGAACGATTCCATCTCCTTTCCAGTGCTAGAGCATGGCTTGTACCCAGCAGCACAGCAAAGGCAGTCCAGAACAACCCAGCCATGGCCTACAGCTGCAGCCTCACCCACAGATTTATAGGGCACGAGCAGTTCCCAAGAGCTCCATACCAGGAAGGAGTGCCTGCAGCCAGACCCACATCCACACCGAGCTGCTGGGTGTGCTCACTGCACTGAGCAGAGCAGAAAGCCTTCAGGGGACCCCCATGGGCTGCAGACCCCCTCCATCACCTTCTCCTTGGGACTCCTCTCCCAGCCCCATGGTGCCTCCATTCCTACGGGGCAGCCCAGTGTAGAGGGAGGAAAATGAATCTGAGCTCTTACCTTGCGGTGCAGCAGCTGTGCCTGCGGCCCCCCATTGCCTTCAATCTCATAGCGGACGCTGTTGAAGAGTGCTACCCCATACTGTTCCCTGTAGCAGCGGGAGAACTCCCCCAGCACCTTCCCAGTCTTCTCTGCAAAAGGGAGAGCAGAGTTAGGATGCACCCCACGCTCCCTGCAGTCCCAACCTACAGCACTGGGTGCATTCTGGAGACGTGTCCCCAGTTCCATATTGCTGTGGGGCCTCCAGCACCTCTGTCCCCAGTGGGGAGCAGCCTCACAGGCTGAGCTCTGGCATCCCACAGCACAGATTTGGCCACATTTGCATTTTCACACCTGGCCAACACTTCCACGCTGCCCTCGTGCCCAGAGGAGCAGGGTTCAGCATGGGACCATCTCCGAGCCTGCTGCCCTCTGCCCTCCCCATCTAGCCCAGGCTTAGCAAAGTCTTCTTCTTATTATTATTATTATTTTTTTGGCCTTTCACGTTAGTGCTGTGGATTCCTCTCCCAGGCAGGAAATTCCTGACATTAAGGCCATTCCGGCACCACGGCGCTTCCTGTGCATTGTGCAGCCCTGCACCCGTCCCCACTGCAGACCCACAGGAAGGGCTGCGCCTTCACCGCCTCTCCAAGAGGCTGCAGATGGGGGCAGCTCCCCCAGCCCCATGCTCAGGACCTGCAAAGCCCCATAAGGAATGTCACGTGGAAGGGCTGGAGACACTCAGGGCCAAGCGTGCAGCAAGAGGAAAGACAACCCGAACGGTGCCCCCCACCCCACAAAGTGTAGACACCCACCGTGATGCTTAGAAAGCTCCTGCACCCCCTAAAGCCTGGCTGCCACCACACCCCCCAGTCTGCCTGACTTCAGCACGATGGAATCTGGAGGTGCCGGAGGGACTCCCACGGCCTGAGTCACCAGGTGCTGGCACAGCACCCAAAAGCCAGCCCTGTGCCACCCGCACCGCTTGGCACCAGCGTGGCACAGTGCTGCACGAGCACCCTGCACCATGAGCACCCCATGGGTGCCCGGCCCCATGCAGCACCCTGCCCTACGTGCACCCTGCCAGAGCCCATCTGAGCCTCCTCCGCAACAAAGCCCGTTGCAAAGCATCAAACATTTTGGGGAGGGATTATTGCCAGCATAAGGATGGCTTTCCCAGAGTTCCCCTGAACGCACGGGGCCTCCAGATTGAATTCTGCTCAACTTTACCCTGGATGTGTCACGGGGGAAGAGCTGAGGCTGCCAGCAACGAGCTGCTCCGTCTCCCCGGCGCTACGAAGGATGCACCAAGGATGCACCGTGCATCACCTCCGACAGCAAGGAGCCGGCTTGGGCAAGGAGAGAAAATCCTCACCCAACTTTTGGCCTTTCTCTCCTGGCACCAGCCCGGTGTGCAGCCATACTGTGCCCATGCTCATGAGGCAGTTCTGCAGTGCATGGCTGCAGAACGGCATTATTTTGGCTGCAGCTCCGGGCGGCAACGTTGACAGCTGAGATTTAGAGGGACGTTTTGAGGTTTCATTTCCTTTCAGTTCATGGGAAAAAAAGCGTCCCTGCTCCCCCGGCTGTCCAGACGGCTTAGTCACTCATTCTTCTCCGATTAACAGCGGGGCCAATTAAGAGGTCTTAAGCAAATGGGAAAGCAAAAGTCAATTACTTGCAGATAGTGAAACAAAAGGCTCTCAGTGAAGCCGCCAACAGCGCTGCATCATCCCCAGATGGGGTGCACTGGAGGGGCCCAGAGGGTGCTGGAGTCTATGGCACGCAGCCCCTGCCCCAACGGGGGTCCTCTAGGCCTTCAGCAGAGGGTCCAGCACTGCTTTGCCCCTGCGTCTCCTCCTAAGGGCTGAGCTCAAGGGGATGTGTTGGCAGGCGTGAAAGCACTCAGTGATGCACAGCTGTGAGACAGAAGGTGCCATGAGGCCAGGCATGATGCTGGGTGCCCCATGGCAGCGCATGCATGGAGCTCAGCTCTGCCCTTTCTGCTCTCTGCCAGGGCTCGTTTCGGTGAAACCAGCCCTGCCAACCACTTGGACTGGTCATGATGGGACTGGTGCCAGCCTGGGGCAGGGGCACAACGTTTGGGGCAGCCCCACAATGCTGGCACTCCTGGGAGTGTGTGCAGCTCCTGCCTCGCTCACATGGGGTTCACAGTTTGGCCACAGTGCAGTGTGCACTGCATCCCAGAGCTCAACGCATGGACCGACCCCAAGAGAGCTGCCTGCTGCCATCACCAGCACAACTCCACCATACCCTCCCTTCCAGAGCTTCACATTTGCCCTCTGAGTTTTGTTTCTTTCCGTGCAGCAACACCTGCAGCACGCAGCGCCCTGTGCAGCACCGTAGGGACTCTCCCACCTCACCCCAAGCAAAAGGGATGGAAGGGGAAGGGCTGAGTGCTGTGCCAGCCCCGTGCTCCAGGCACCAGTGCGTGGCCAGAGCCCGTGTGCCTCATTCCCTTGGAAATCATGTGAAAATGAGAGTGACACCATAAATAGCCGTGGCTGCAGAGTCAGCGGGGCCGGCAGTGGGGAGGTCAGATCTGACTGCAGCAACAGCAGGATGGCAGCAGGGACAGGGTGAGGACAGGGCCACCAGGCTGGTCCTTGCCCCACAGCCAGCTGATCACAGCTTCCCTCTGCCAGGTGTGGGGCATGCAGTGGGGTTGCTCCAGGTTTACTCAGCTCCCATTCCTGGGAGCAATGGGGAGGGAGCAATGTGCTGTGCCTGAGCCGCAGAGATCTGTAGGGTCCCCCAGCAGTCCCAAATGCACGCAGCCATTACCCCCACACATATGGGCTGACACATCCGAGCAGGAACGCTGCCCCAACCTCTCCCTCAGCCCACATCCCGTTTCGTAAGCCCGTAGCCCTGCACCCCGTGCCAGATGCATCCTCCAAGGATCACGTCCTGCCCCCCTCCCAGTCCCACTACTGAACCACATCGGGGGTTGCCCTGGAAATCCCAACCCATCCCCTTCTCCCCTCCCCCCCCCCCCTTCCCCCCGGCTTTGCTTTGCACAAGGAAGAAAGCGGAGCAGGGGGCACCCAAGCAAAGCCTCATTGAAGGGCAGGAATTTTCCTCCCGGCGCAGGGTAAAAAAAGAAATAATAATTAAAAAATAAAGGATAAAAAGGCTCATTGAGTCAGCCCCGAGCTGGCGGAGCCCGCAGTGTCTGAGTCAGCAGCAGGCTGAGGAAAGCCCCAGCACTGTGCCACCGCCTGCGTGTCCCTGCACTGTCCCCATGGTGGTCAATGACCAGTAAGTGGGGAGGGGGATGCATCCCCACCCATCCAGTGTGCTCCTCTGGGAGGAGAAGAATGGGTGGAAGCTGCTTTCCTCCTGGGCTCCCTTGCTGGGCATCTGTTCCCTGGCAGCCCCCACTGTGTCCCCACTGCACCCCCACGCTTCCCTGCCTGCATGTCACTGCTCTGAGGCCTCCAAGGGACAGCAGGCACTCCTGCTCAGGTCCCCTAGCCCTGTGCCAGCAGTCCTCCATCACTGCCTGGTCCAAGCCCACCTGACATGCTTGCATGCCCCAAATCCCAGTGCTGTGTGGGCATCCTCATTAAGGGTGCACGGCATGATAGGGATGGGGGGCATAAACAGAGATGGGGTGCCCAGCACAGCACACATGAGGGGTGCACGGTGTGTTGGATCTTAACCCAGCAGCACCCTGTGAGCCCTGAACAACTGCTGCTCCTGCTGAGCTTGGCGGTAGGCTGAGGACAGCTCTGTGGACATTGAGTCCCACTGCCAAGGGGCACTGCACTGCTCTGATGGAGCTGGGCATGGGGCAGCATGGGCTGGTGGCTAAAATGAGGTCTGAAGAGATGAGCCAGGTGTGCCAGCAGCAGCACAAGGGCACCTCGCTGCCCTGCTGCAATAATCCAGCACTGGGATTCAGGCTAATCCTCATCCTGCAGGTCAGAGCTTTGGGAATTCCAATCTCAATCTCCATCCAGAAAACACAAACTGGAGCTCTTTTGCCTGACACAGCCCCAGCCCAGCACCCCCTGCTCAGCTCCACGCCTGTGCCCACATCCCTGGGGCACCCAGCCAGCCTGAACCCCCCCCCCCCCGTCGCCCCTCTCTGCCCCACAGCATTATCAGGATTTAGATTAAGTTTATCCGGAGCTGCAGGGGAACAAACAGAGGGCGGAGGCAGCTGGCAGGGCCTGCCCCAGCTCTTTGTTCCTTCTATCAATGGGCTGCACCCAGCAGCACTAGTCTGATAACCCTGGGAAGATGGCATCATCAGCCCTCAAACTGTCCAGGGAGTTTGGGGTTAAATCATACCTTCAAGGAAGGAAAAACAAAAAAAAAAGAAAGAAAGAAAAAGAAGAAAGAGAGGACAAAAATGAAAGAGAGACCAATCAACCCAGGTGGTGGAAGTGGGACAGAAGTGCTATTGTGTCCCCAGGAGTGACCTCAGCCCTATGACCTCAGCCTGGACTCACTGCTCTGAAGAGTGAGAGGGACGGGGCAGGGAAACCAAGCAGAAACCAGCAGGGCTCAGCAGGGAGCTGGTTTGGGCTCTGCCAACAGATGAGAGTCAGAGGTCACCCAACAGCCACCCCAACGGGTTACAGTGCATGGGGACACCGGATGGCATCTCTTCAGCCCTCTGTCCCCACGGTGTCCCCATGGGGAGGTGCCCCCTCCCAGTGCTGCTCCCAGCGGGTGGTTTCCCAGCAGCGCTCTCAGCCCAAAGCAAATAAACCTGTGCATTGCAGAGAGGGAGGAGCTCACGAAATCCACGGGGGAGAAAGCAAAACAGCAAGCAAAGCACGGCCCTGTGGCCTGGGAACTGCCGGGGTGGGTGGCTGCCTGCCTCCTGCTGCTGCACCAGGGACTGCGTGCGCTGGAGCCGCATGGAAGGAATGTGCATCTGAATATCAAACAGCATTCGGGGCCTCTGCAGGGCTGGGGAAGCATCACTGAGTCCAACCCCAGCTCTGCACAGCACAGCCAAACCCCAACCCTACAGCTGAGAGCGATTGTCCCATTGCTCCCTGAGCTCCAGCAGCTCCAGTCTGCGCCCACTGCCCTCGGCTGAGTCACAGCTGTGCCACCCTGCGGTCACCCACGCGGTGTCTGGTGGCACTTGGGAGCCGTGTGTCAGCTCCGTGGGGCTGAGTGGGTCCTGGGGTCTGCAGGGCTCCTGTGCCTCTCGTGCAGACAGCAGGAAGAGGATGCTTCCAGGGGTTACACGAGCAGGTGGCCCCTCTTGCCCACCCTCC